GTACTTGGTGACTGGAGGCTTGTAACTGGTGACAGTTTTTGTCTCGGTCTTGTACTTGGTGGTTGGAGGCTTGTACTTGGTGACAGTCTTGGTGTTGGTCATGGGGGGCTTGTAGGCTGGCTTAGTGACAGTGTGAGTGACCGTAGCTGTCACGGTCTTGACCCTTTCGCCATAACCATTTCCGTAGTCACCACCAAGGCTGGCAAAGACTAGCGGGAGAGAAAGTAGAGGAGCGATCAAGGTAAAGATTTTCATGTTGTAAAGTGGAGCAAAACTCTTGAATATATGATTCGAGCGTGTGAAGCCGTTGAAACAGCGGAGGGGAAGCTCGAGCCTGCAAGTCCAAGCGTGCAGGATCTTCTGTGAGCATCAGGGGATAAAAGGAGACCTTTATACCACTTGTTGCTTACATGCTTCCGATACACAATGGAGATATTACTCCCATATCTCGGAATATGGGATGTACAAGATGAATACTAACTTGACTTAGGTTCACATCTTACCACAAGAACTCAGATTGTGTCGCTCCCTCAATAAAATACACAAAAAGGTTATTTTAAGCAACTGTTCTTGGTCAATGGCTGCCTGTCTAACGGAGCAGGCTACCAATAGCTGTTGTCGGAGCTACAATACACCATAGGCGCAGGGCGTGAGGATTTCCCAGCCATCCACGGTGACGGTACAGTCAATCTCAGGACCATTTACCTGTTAAACGCTAGCGATCCGCCATTGCAAGGGGTGAAACAAAGAATGGAAAGCAGAAGTGCGGAAAGTGAACCTGAAATTGGCCGTGCACTAGTAGATGCTATGGGATATGTGTTACTTTGCATATCACCACCAATGTGCCATCCACGGCCGTCTAAGCGGTGTCGCAGTGACTATACAAGAACACCATTACCTGATATCGTATCATGAGTCTTGAACCAAGTACACTGCATTGAGTCACATGAAAATCTTACAGAGCTCTAGACCTTTACTGCCCAGAAGCTATGTATGAGAACCTTTGAGCCTTAGGTATACAGGATCCTAATTTAATATACTCCTTCGCAAAGTATTATAAGATGCCATCGGTGTTAATTTCTGCTACATATAGTAATTTCCAAATTGTCAGTCGTCTTTTCATCGCCTCTGTCTTTAGCGAAAGGCTTGACATGGGGTTACATAGGCATCAAATTCACATATGTGGCGGCCCTCAAGGACAGCAGCACGAGAGACAGGATTACTGTTAGACATTATGCGTATTCGGTTCATTGATGTGAACTGGTATATTCATGTTTTTGTTCTGTTGAATTCTGCCCATCAGAGGTTTTTACCATTTCGGGTGTAATCTTATAATATCCCTGCTTGCACGTGAGACCCCAGCATCTGTTCAACAATTACAGATGATAACAAAAAGTCATACCTACCCTGGATAGTCCAAGCACCTACTTTCTAGGTCCTTATTTCTTGGTCTTTAACGAAGCCCTATCACTTGCTATTTCTGCTTCAATCGTATCCACTCCATGACAACAGCCGTTAAGATGGGAGGGCTTATGTTCTGAAGCGGTGCTGTAGGCTCGCTTCGCAAGATTACCAAGCACTACATGATGTCGGCAGGGCG